TACTAGACGTAAACAGCGTTTCGCCACAGTCAGAAATTAGGGACAACTCAGCACCGTACATAGAATTTACGTTTCGTTGCTATAAGAAATCTGAGACAACCCAAACATATTAGACGTAAACAGCATTTTGCCAAAGTCAGAAATCTGGGACAACTCAGCACCATACACATGATTTCGTTTGTTACTGTAGAAATCTGAGACAACCCAAACATACTAGACGTAAACAGCATTTCGCCACAGTCAGAAATCTGGGACAACTCAGCACCGTATATATAAACCTGTGTTTCCGTACAACAAAAGATTTGGTTTTATTCTTTGATTTTTGCTTGTTCGGAGTTACTGGTGTAGGGCATAATTCCTCGAAATCGGTTTAACTTACTCTCAAGAAGCGAATTCAGGAACGAATAAGATCTCGAATTTCCTTCTCGCTAAAATTCTTAATTTCAATTCTAAATGAAAATCATGCATTATTTTGGACAGCGTGCCCGGTGAAACGTTCAAAACAACACATTAGAAGTATTAGTATTATTTCTTCATTAAATACCATCATAAATAAAGGTTAACATTTGAGAGTAACAAATATGACAGTACAAATTTTCATGATTTTAAATTGATGATGAAATGTTAGCTATAATATCACACTTATATTTTCGTTTGAAGGAATTGTGAAATCACTTAATGTTCTCGCTTAATGTTCAGTAAACTAAATTAGATTTGAACAGTTGTTGTGCGAGAATCCTAAAAAATAAATTAGCAATTCATTTACGCTTAATTTACATATGATTTCAATTTATATGAAACTCCGAATCCCTGCGTATTAGGAAAGCAAGCTTTATGGATTATTAATTCTAACAACAAAAACGAAACAATCAACTGGACCATATGTAGCAAATGAACTCCAGAAATAAGGACTTCAGCCTGACATTATGCTCCCCATCCATCAGTCAGATAAGGTATCAATTTTAAGGGTGGATGGTGGTATTTCGTTTGTTTTATTTCTTTCTTCTTTCAGTTTTTTTTTTTGCTTAAAATTTCCTTGCAAATAGAGTCGGTTTTAAGATCATTTTTCTGGTGATCTATTTTCTATCCCCTTTCAGGATTTTGAAGACCAGAAATTTAGAGAATAATTCCTGTTGTTATTTGATGTTTGATAAATTACAGCAGTATTATAACGATTTCCTGAAGTTATTACTTTCAAAAAGGGACATAAAGATCTCATACAGGAAGGCACTCGTAACTATAAACAAAGCTTATATATTTCCGATTTCTCCATCATTGTTCCAAAATGACAGTTTAAGCTATTTGGTATCATCCATTACATTGAAAGGGGAAAAAATAAAAGTATTCTTATTGTTTGTATTTAAGAGCAGTCACTTAGTTTTACCCAGACAAATTGTTTGTAAAGTGAAACGTATTTATTTAAATCTCTTGATTTAAAGGTAATACTAAGAGTATGTTGCTATTAGATCGATTTATTTCTAGCTTATCGTATTGTATTTTAGTATTTTATTACTATTTTTTCAACTTCGATATAATAAATTAAAATGTTCATTTATGGAGTACATAAATTATTTCATAATTTTGTAAACACTAACACAGTATTTGATACTATTTACTATGATGAATTATGTGCAAGAATGTTTGTAACTGTAAAATATCAGTAATGGTATTGTAAAAATTTGTTTTATCTTTATGAAATAGTCATAATTTTCTTCAACAAGGAATGAACACAAAAGATAAAAAATGTTCTTAAAATTCTTTGCCTGGCAGTAAATAGGTACAGGTCAAGCATACATAGTGTAGTGTATTAAACATTCAGCGGTTTATTTATATGTTACTCAGTTTTGATGCCCAGTACTGTGTAAAAGTGAAACATGTCATTCATATTACATCTTATTGAATACTCAGTGCTAGTACAAAGTGTTGCAAAACAATGATACATAATTTATTTTAGTATTTTTTTATGTTCTCAGATTTGAACTATTTTAACGTAATATTAAATAACAATATCTTACATTCTGGTGAGGGCTACAATATAATTCTTTAACTTCGAAAATGTTTATTATATTTTATTGTTGGTTGAAAATATCATTACCATCGAGTTTTTTGATGGTTTGAAATAGGTTTTATGAACAATAGTAAGTATATTTTTCATAAATGAGCAAAGGCCGGGTATTGTCAAGAATCTTTGGTTCGCGTCTCTTTGTCATAAAATCGCCCTTCTACTTTGGAGTCGTGGGTGCATTATAAGAGTGGTTGTCAAATTCTACTATTCGATTAGAGTAGCCCAAGAGTTGACTGTGGCTTCTGCCTACTAGATGCCTTTCCCCCAGTATATCAGTTCAAAATTAGAGATGGCTAGCGCAGATAGCCCTTGTGTAATTTTGTACGTATATCCTAAGCTTACTTTCTTACTTATTCCACGCTGAAACCTTTTTTTGACGAAACATTGTTCCATTTGAGACTTGACTTAAATAAATAAAGATGATTTATTTAAGTCTTAACGAATTTGTTCTTATTTCTAATGCTCGAAAAAGATTTGCCGGAGAGCGCATTAGAATCAGTGGTGCAGATCATGCATTTTAAATAAAATATCTTAAAAATTACCAAATCAATAATCCCTAGATAGTTTACAACATATTAAACATGTGTTATTCTATAGTTAAATCTTAGTAGAAAATTAATTCAGGCCTGACTGCACTTATTATTCCCTTATTTGTTAGAACACTTCATAAGTAATCGTAGATTCTATAATGGTACGTTTTTTTCTTAATAACAACAAAACTTTAATCAAATAATAAAAACGTCCCTACATTTATGTTTGCTTATCTTCTCACAATGACCATGGCAATAAGATGTTAATAAATTTAAACTTTTGCCAAGATGGGACCTTATATTGCTGTCTATGTAACTTCGTTTCTACCGAGAAAAAAAGAAATGCTATCTCGTTTTTCACTTGCAATATTTTCTGATGAATTTTACCTTATGAGTAATAAAGAAAACTTTAAATTAATAGCTGAGTATAATTTATTACAAAAACTATTTTGGTAATTATAGTAATTGCGTCACCTAGTAATTGCGTAATTTGTCAAAACTCTCATATCTGAAGTAAGATAAGTATTTATTTTTTTATATAAAGGTTTCCACACACACGTTTGCCGACTTTATCCCAGATTTTTAAAGATCAAATTATAAGAGTAACATCTACTGCTTAACTGATCTTCTGCACTAATTAGTTTTAACTAGAATAAGGTACCCGTGATCCGTTACTGGGTTCGTAGGCCCCTCTCATGATTTAAAGAGGTTCCAGTGTACCCTTCTCACACTTTTCTATTATCCCCATTTACTTTAATCGCTACCCAACGGAGCTCGTGTCCAAAAGATCTCCCCGCTAAGACACCCATCCGTGGTGCTTGAGGACGTATGCCACGTTTGGTCTTGCTAGCTTATGAGTTGAAATATGAACATAGTTTCAAACATTGAGTACCCGGGATCCAAGGTAGGCCAGGAAAACTAAATTCGATGCAAAATTTGGGTCCAGCGACCATTGTACTGTGTTTTAACCCTCTTGCGGCGCCCTCGGCAGGGGCTACGCCATATAGATAAGTATACCCCCGCAGGCACCCATTGCACCCATTACAGTTGCTTTCATGTTGCAAGTGAACATGTCTTAGCAGCGAAGAAATATTAACATCATCTTGTGCCAACCACAATATATTCATATCCAACATATGGAAAAGAGAATCCTGTTTCTCTCTGAGTTCCTCTCCTATTAAACTAAGCACTTTAGCAGCTTCTACTAGTTAAAAGAAACCCATCACGAAGTGGACACAAAATAACTTTCATAAGAATAATGTGAAAGTAACAATAGTTATGTATATATATAATGAAATTTAAAGGTTATCAATAGAGTCGTTTGATCAAATATATTTGATTTTGTTTTAGGTGATGGTGTTTTCATTCAATTTTAATTTCTTTATTTGTATTATACTTACGTACTTTCATTAATTATATTTAAACTCATTTGTGGCTTAAGAATTGATCATTCTTAGATGTTTATGGCATTCTTACGATTCGTTAAGGATTCACTTTCGCATTCATATTTGCATATCGTGACACCATTATGAGTTTTTTTATTCATTGTATGGATACTTTAGTAAACTGTTATTCTAGGTATGAACTCTGCAAAACAAATATCATCTAAAAAATTGAGTAATAAAGATTCTAAAATTTACAGCGAAATATATAGCCTGATGTTTAATGTAACTATTATGCAAGATTTCTAAAATTTACACTATGATCTAGAGCTTTGTTTGAATATAACACCTGAGTAAGGATTCTGAAATTTACATCACTATATACAACCTTATAGCTAATAAAACTCTTATGTAATAATTCTAAAATAAAGAGCTCTGTCCTTGACAATAACTCTTATGTAAGGATTCTAAAATTTCACTAACTGAAAATTTCTATAACATAATTCCTGAGTAAGGAATCTAAGTTTACGCTTTGATGTAGAACTTTATTATTTTAAAGTTTTCTAGCACAGAATAGTTTATTTGGTTAAGGTTATTGTACGATTGGTATTTTTATTATTTTAAAAATGACACTAATTTCGTAAACCAAGCCACGAGTCAAATTAAATAGCATGGAAAAGTATTCCAGTGCCCTCGCATAATTCGCCAGAAAAACGCTAATGAAGACTTTTCACTGCAATTTTATTCAAGTATACTTTAAAGCACTAGATCAGGAATTATAATAGATACCAGATTTTTTTCCAAAGTATGTTCTTTTGGGAAGTTCTAGAAACTTAGTAGGTAAAATGTATTCACAACGTTTTTGAACTGCATGTACATTTCAAAAGTATTGTCATGAAGATATATCAGCGTGTGGCGCCATCTTCAGCTCAGAACTGAAAGTGGATGTGCAAATCGATTTTAAGGTTGTTTAAAGAAGCCACGTTTGGAGCCCTCAAATACTCATTTGTCTGGCCGCACGAATCGTGCAAGAGTTCTTAGACGGCGAAGCAAGAGTTAACTGAACCCAAATGGTTGCATGAGGTTTCTGTTCTGACTTATGTTGTGTACATACAGCAAGGGTTCCCAGCACTCTCCGAGGAGAAAAATGATGACAAGTATTTGTTTTGTTTTCCTTTTTTCCTTTCATCTATGGCCAGTGTTCAGTGGAGCACATGTTCGTCAAAAGCCAGCTTCTAAAGAAAAGCCTTATGGTAAGTAGTTATCACCCACATAATATTTCCTTTGTAATATCCTTTATAAATGCAGCTTCTGAATGTTCAAGAAGAAATGCTAACAAAGAACTTCCCAGTTGTTTGACACAATTCCCTCAAAAATGTTTCCATTTAACAGCTTCTTGGTAATCCTGATAATAGTTGTATATTCGGGTCATTTAAACAGTGCGAAACAGTATAAAGATATAAACGATATAAACCTTTCAATAAGTTTATTAATATATAGATATGTATACAATTCAACTTTTATATAACTTTCTTCTTCAGGAGAATTCGATTCATCTGAAGCTATTAAAATCTATACTACCCGTTTCTCATGATGAATCACTTTATCTCAGTCATCTTATGAATAAGTCGACATCAATTGTTTGAATTATTTTACTTAGTTTTAAAAATTCAATATCCGGTTTTGTCCCATTGCTGAAATTTCATTTCCCCATGGTCGTTTGTAACTTCTCAGAAACGTAGAAAAAAATAATTTAAAGAATAATCTATGTCATATTTATATGGTACTGTCTATAATGGTGCCACAACAACAATGTTAGACGTAAGGGTGACGTTTTTAAACATGTTTACTTCCAGAACTTGATTAAAATTATTTTATTAAAATTGAGATGATTCAAATGCAAATTAAACAATATACATATATGTATATTCGTATAATGTTGGAAAGTTCATAAGACCAAGGAAGTGTTGAATTGGTCAGCAAGTATTAAACTGGGATGTTAAAAAGTATAGTGTGAAACGATTCCTTATATATATATATATTATCAAAATAAACTCAATTTTATATCATTTGGAAAGCAAAACCAATGTATAAAACAACGCCAATGGCCACCATTAAGCGTTATTTTCAAGTCTAATTTCAACTTAAGTGTTTAAATATTTAAACAGATAAAGAAAAATGAGAATTTCAAATTTTATTTAAATCTCTTTTTGCTGCAAATTATTGTTCATCATTCCAAAAGATATGGATTTCATGAACTTCCACAGAAAGAATTGCTTGTTATATCATTGATGGGCCTCAGCACATATCATGCAACGCATTATTTCACGCAACTTGCAAGTAAAACGACACACAAATGCATATAATGTGACATCATGAAAATTCTGAATACATCAGTCACAGGAAGATGTTCATGTTGTTTGACATAATACATTTCTTTTTGAGAGTAGGAACGGAGTAAAAAAAAAAATGTATGATTCATTCTATTGCCAAAATGTAGGCATCTTACATACTTAGATTTGAATGTTGCATGTTCTTCAGTGTGGGATTTAATTCAACAGTGATCACTTTCTGCTTAATAATTCAATATTGATATTTCGTTCTTCTAATTAAGCAGCTACAATATATCACTGACCCTGTTTTACATGTTGTGCAATAGTTGGTTAGATTATTCTGAAGGAAAAACACTTAATTTCTGTTTGCGCCCCCCAGTAGCACAGCGGTATGTCTGCAGACTTACAACGCTAGAAACTGGGTTTCGATACCTGTGGTGGGCAGAGCAAAGATAGCTCATTGTGCAGCTTTGTGCTTAATTACAAACAAACAAAAACATTTCTGTTTGAAAATAATTAATTGAAATATGTCAATTTTCAAACTTTCACACATATTTGAACAACAGATTAGGCCCCTATATGTTATTATGTTTCCAGCTTGCGGACTAACTTATGAGTATGCACATACTTTGAAGACTGCATGCAGGTGTTATGTTTTGCTGAGACAACAACATTGGCTGGCGTCACTATCTCTGAAAAAAGGTGAGATGTTTCTTCGCGCAAGTCAATATTTGTTTTCACACGCGACGGCAGTTTGTTATCTTTCGATGGTTTTATCTTCTGTGTAAGGATGTAGAAAGCGGAAACTGTCATTATCAACCACGTTGGAGAACCACAAAAACGTTGTGAATAAAACCGGAATCACTACATGTGTAGTAATTAACTACTAGTTTATTACGTATATATAAAAATATGAATTTTCAAGATCCTACTTGACAAAAAAATCATGTTATGCGGTTCAGTCATTAAAAAGGAAATTCCGTATTTGTTTGTACTTACACACATACACACACACACACACACACACACACATATATACATATGTATATATCATCAGAAATAGTTTAAAAAAAGAAGGGCTCCCGTTTCTCTACCAAGAATAAATGGAGCGTTGAAATGAAATCCTACTGCTACTTATATAACACTGGTGTTTTAGCGTTCGTGTTTACTTGATCACTTAAATATGCTAAAAGTAATTCTTTAGAATATAAGCATTTTCATAACTATCCAGACAACATTAAACAGGTTATGATGCATCCTCTGCAAAAATGCGAAATTCATAGTTAATTTCTCGCTCCAGTTCTTTATAACCTAAGCTGTCAAGACCAACAGTACCATAAGACTGTTAATTACGCTGTGTCATACGGGGAAAGTCTTCAAAATCACACTTGACGGTTTTCGTTGTTCGTAACCCATTTCTAAACGATACGAAAAAGTATGTGTAACTCTGGTCCTCCACACCATACATAACCTGCATGGAAAAAAAAAGAAGCAAATTGCATTATTCAAGGAAATGACAATAGTTTTTACTAGTCTTGAAAAGTGAGTAATGCCGTTCCATAACTAATTCATGCCTCTGGAGACTCACCGATAAGTTTGAGAGCTTATAACAGTAAAATACTTGATTCAATGTCTTCAGAGAACAGATTGTGCAACTTTGTGCTTAACACCAAACAACAATAGTGGGAATAGTGTTTCTGATTTTCACTAACAATGTTTACAAATAAATACCCCTAATTTTATTCCAGATCGATTCAGCTGAGACACGAGTGATTCATAAACAGTTTGTTGAAAGTAAGGCTTAAAAGGCAAAAGCAATGTTTACATAAAACGTTGTTAACCTTCAACATTTGTATAAGTGTATACACGAACAGTTCTGAATTGTATATCAGTAGATCAATCTGAATGTGAAAAGAAAATACTCGTTTTATATGGTTGATTTATACAGCAGTTAGGTACGAAACGGCCGTTGGAAAGCCATTTTGTGAGTGTAAACGTTTTTATTGTAGTGACACTAACAGTGTAAAATGCTAAGGCATTTTACATTCATTACTGGACGCTGCAGTGCCTTCTCCATTAACTTAATATACTTGAAAAGAGATACATAAATATGTATTTTTCATAATTTTGCATATTCAATATTTGTTGAATATGAAGGACTGTATTACGACGATATTTAGCATGCATAGTTTACTTATGTTATTAAATATTTTAGGAACACTACGATTACACTACTTTGCATATTAAGTATTTGTTGAGTATGAAGAAATGTATTATGATGATATTTAGTATGCTCAGTTAAATTATGGTATTAAACATTTTAGGAAAACTATAATTACTTTTATCTTACTTGAGCTTGCTAATATTCAAACAATTTTACTTGCCCCTAGGGAAAAGTATTCTTTAAAGAAGAATTGAATACAAAGACACTAATCAAGGAATTTATTAAATTTTCTACCTAAACTAGCTCAATAACTTTTCATAAACATGACAGATTTATCAGGAACTGGAAGAAAGAAAGTTAAGCACGTTCAAATTTGTTTCTATCATGTTTTGTTTGATAAAATTATTAAATAAAAGTGATGAATATATCAGCCCCGCCTTATATTTTGTGCTCTAGTATTAGATAATCACATATATGATCCAAAATAAAATATGTATTTAATAGGCTCATGTATATACAAAGGAAGTTTGTGCTAACGTATTCTGGAGTTAATTTAGTTTCACGTCTAATACTAACCTACACGTGAGACTAGAAATTTGGTTATATACTTCTTGTGGCATCTCATAATTAACGTCAGTGCAGCTCAAGTACTGACAGATAAGTAAAGTTTTCTGTGAAAAACGGCGTTTAAAGCACGTCTGTGTCAGTATTTTTGTAACGCCCAGTTTTCTGCTAGAATGTAATAAGAGCTGCGATTATCACAGTAGGAAACAAGACAAAATATGAAAGCTGCCATTTTAAAAGCACAATAGCCAAACACATAGGAAGCTTTTCATCTCCGGTTAGTTAAACACTTACTAAGTTTTAAGGAATTTCCAAAAGCACAAGCTTATCCTATATATATGTCTGAAGCTTAATGATGTAATAAAAAATTAGGTGTGATACTTCTACACTTGATTACTGCCGTAATTAAAGCTCACTCAAACGAACCTTGCCTACTAAGATAAAGTTATAGGTTCGTAGAATAATTCTATCTCGAAATCTTCAAAAGAAATCCTGTAACGTTTGAGGTTTGTCGAATAATTTTATTTCAACATGTATGTTCGATAAAGACCTAGCGGTAGTTTTGTATCATTTGGCTTTATGGGTTCCATGTGAAATTTGTGACGGTTGAACATGTTGTGTTCAAATTCGATGACGAGGAACCCACTTTGAGACTAATAATGGTTGGAGAAGGCTTGAATGGGTAATGAAGAAAAACTTTAATATAAGTTTAACATAACCGCAAATGTACAACGTTTCGACAAGGTTTTGTCATCATCAGGTACAACTAATTTGCACTGACACGGATATATATGTACAGTATTGAACAAAGAAGTCACATGACCGGAACTGTTGCAAAACTTAGAA